TGTAGCCCAGGCTGGCCTCGAACTCACAGAGATCCACCTGCCTCTGCCTCCCAAGTGCTGGGATTAAAGCCGTGCGCCACCACTGCCCAGCAAAAGCTGTCTTTATACCATCTCTTTTCATCCTAAGTCCCCATCATTTTGTGAGATGAATTAACTTAGTCACAGCCCCAGAGACAATAAACAGGTCCTACATACAAACCTGTATACCAAAATCCTGTGACTGCCTTGGAGGGACTTTGGTTTTGAAGTATTCTTTGCATCTGATTTTTGCAAGATAGGACAGAGTTGTAACTTGAGAAATTGTCCTTAACTTTTCAGGAGAGAAGGGTCTTATGACCGCTATCTGAGGATGGATGACTATTACCGGAGAAAGGATGACTCTTACTTGGACCGGTACAGAGACAGCTTTGACGGAAGAGGTCCTCGTGCAAAAGGTGAGGTCACAGCAGTGTGTGTTCCCATTACTGGGGGAGAGTCATTCATGGACACCAGCACCTCCACACTCGGGGCTTAGTGACCCAGCCAGGCAACCCACAGATGTTCATGTGGATGTGGAAATGCAAATTAGCGCCATCCTGCAGGTTAGCCATCCCACAGGAAATAAAAAAGTCCAGCAATGAGGAGCAGAAGATGGCAGGTGAAGGTTTTGCGGGTAATTGACCTCACGTATGGTGTGGGGTTTTGTGTGTCTCTATCATTCTTACCTAACAACTTCTCTTTTAGGTAAAGGCAAGCATGTGTGGTATTTTTTTAGAACCTAGGTTTCTCAGTTCTGTCTTCAAATGTTTCTCTTTGTTTCTGTACTGGCCAGTTAAGAGGTGTTCTGGAGTGTACGCACTCTTGCCCATTTGACCAGCACTGGGCATTATAAAAATGTGCTTTGGTTGGTTTGTTTGTTCAAAGAAAGTCCACAAAAATTCACATTGGAATAGTAATGAAATATGCCTGTCAAGTGTGGGGAAGGTATTCAGAGAAGTAGGCAATGGCTGATTTACGTTTTGGTTTTGAGACAGTCTGTTATAGCTCAGACCTGCCTTCACCTCCCTAACATATACTATTTTGTCCAACTTTTTTCTTTCTTTTTTTTTTTTTTTTTAAACAAAGTAGCCTTTGCTGGCCTGCAGCTCAATGTATAAGCCATGCAGACTTTGAACTCAATAGTCTTCCTGCCTCAATCTTCCAAGTGCTGGGATTATACAGGCATGAGTTACCACATTGGCTAACCCACCTTTTTTTACATAGTTAACAGCCTTTCTTGGGATCAGTTTAGTAGTAGAATCATATAAAGCATTACAGTGACTGTGGTCTGTCACCCATGGTTTCATCTTGATGGATATAATAAGATAGTAGGGGGCTGGAGAAATGGCTCAGAGGTTAAGAGCACTGGCTGTTCTTCCAGAGGTCCTGAGTTCAATTCCCAGAAACCACATGGTGGCTCACAACCACCTGTAATGAGATCTGGCTCCCTCTTCTGGCCTGCAGGCGTACATGCAAACAGAACACTGTAAATTTAAAGATTTATGTAAATCTTTAAAAAAAAAATAAGATAATAGAAAATACTAAAAATGGTTAATTTTGAGAGATATACATGAGGATTCATTCAAAGTGTCTTAGTTATATTATGGAAGGACAGACCTTACTTCCATTTTCCCTGCTGGTATCTTGCAGAGCGTTTGAAACGTGAGGAACGACGTAGAGAGGAGCTTTATCGTCAGTATTTTGAGGAGATCCAGCGGCGCTTTGATGCTGAGAGGCCTGTGGACTGCTCTGTTATTGTGGTCAACAAACAGACTAAGTAAGAACCAGTGCTTGGTTCTCCTCGGTGTAGAAAAGGGTCAGAAACATGGAGGGGTTGCCTAGCACTCCACTAGACAGGTGTCCTCTTAGCTGAAGACAAAGCTTTGCTGTCCTGGGGTGTGTGTGTGTGTGTGTGTGTGTGTGTGTGTGTGTGTGTGTGTGTGTGTGTGTGTGTATCTGTCTGTCTGTCTTTGTCTTTCTCTCTCTCAGTGTATATGTATACATATGTGTTTGTGTGCTACAGAAGCCAGAGGACAGCCTTGTTCCTTTGAGAAGGGGCCTCTTAGCACTCCTTTAATCCCAGCACCCAGGGGGCAGAAGCAGGTGAATCTTTGTGAGTTCAAGGCTAACCTGGTCTACAGAATGAATTCCAGGACAGCCAGACTACCCAGAGAAACCCTGTCTCGTAAAAACTAAAAAGAAAGAGAGAGAAATGGAGAAAGGGCCCCTCACTGAAGCTAGAATTACTGCTATCTGCTAGGTTGTGATGCTTACTCAGCACTCTCAACTGCTAAGCCACTTCCCCAGCCTTCACTCCATGGATTCTTCCAGAGGTCCTAGGCTGTCCTGTGAGACTAGGCTGGCTTACTCTAGCTCCTATCTTTGACTTTGTCACTTTGGACAGGGGCCCAGAATATTGTCATTTACTAGGGCTGGGTTATATGCCATAGATTTAGAGATGAGATCAGCCCTTAGCACCGCATGAACTAAGAGTGAGAATGGGAATATAGTCAAGAAAAGTAATACATCTCCCCCACTTCTGCAAGGGGCAGCCTTGAGTGGAATGAAGCTTGGCCTTCCTCAAGGGTTAGGTGACCACATCTGCCATAGCTGTGTTCTCTATCCCCATGTAGTTTGTAAATCTGTGTATTTTCTAGCCATTTGCAGTTACAAAAGCTTATTTCAAAGGTGTAGTGGCTAGGAAAGTCTTTGATAAGACACCAGCCATCAGGCAAGAGTTCACAGGCTTTGGGTTGTCTTGCTTTGTCTAGATGCCAGATAAATAGCCATCATTTTCTGAGCACCTACCCCATATGACCCCCTGAGTGCTTTACCTCATACAACCCCCTGGGTGATTTTCATAAATAATTTTTATCATCACTGTAATGTATGTATGTCATTCAGCAAGGGGTAGGTAGGTGGGGAGTGGGGAGGGTCTAGGTATTGGGTAGTAATAAGCAAACAGTTAGTCCCATCGGCCTGTAGCTCTCACAACCTAGTGAGGAAGGTGACAAAAAAAGTATATAAATGAGTCTTGGGCCAGGAAAAGGTCAGGGGTTTAAGTTGGAGTCAGGTTCCTGATCCACCGGCTTCAGAAGAAAAAAGCTGAGTTTGCTTAAGAGATAAAGGACTTGCTTGTGGCTTCACAACTTCACAAATAAATGCTGTAACTGAAATGCAAACACATTTCTAGCATCAGAACCCAGGCTCTCTTCCCATTGTGTTCCCATGCAGCCTCCCCAAGGGATGAGAAGTACAGCAGGTCTCAGGAAGCAGTTGGTTGTAGACTAGAGAATCAGAAGAAAGGTATCAGCTGGTCACATTGAGGCATGCCTATAGTCTCAGCACTTCAGAGTAGCGGTAGAATTGCTTCACATTCAGGGCTAACCTGAGCTATATGGTAAGACCCTGTTTTGAGATACATACACATCCTTCAGAATCCTGGGACTGCCGCACTGCAGGAGCTGTGTAGTGTATGCAGCATGTGCAGCCAGCATACGTAAGGAAACCCTACTGGTGGAAGAGAAAGAGGTTGAGATTCTGCCTTCAAGGCAGAAACTGACCAGGAAATGTCATTGCTCATTAATACTATCTATTCACGTAAGTTATCAGATGCTCTGGACAAAAGGAGATAGGAAAGCTTGACAGGTCTTGGTGAACTAGAACCTGGAAAGGAGCTGCACACAAATTTCATCTCAGTGAACAAGACCTGACCCAAGGCCAGCTTCATCAAGAACCTTGGCTTTATTACCAAGTCTAGGATCAGAATTTCCATGCAGGCTCTGCATGCTAGTGCAGAGTACTTCATGATTGCCCAGTTTGGTGTTGGTTTCTATTCTCCATATCCGGTTGCTGAGAAATTACTTCAGTCACTGTAGACGGAAGTTTTTCTCCCTGCCCGCAAGCACCCAAATAACCAGTCAGAGGCTTACTATTAATTACAAACTGTTTGGCCTATGGCTCAGGCTTATTGCTAGCTCTTGCATCTGAAGTCAACCCATTTTATGAGTCCGTGTGTCACCACGTGGCCAGTAGGCCTACCAGTACTTCCACACCTTGTTTCTTGGGCGACTGGAGCGCATCTGCTCTGACCCTGCCTTTCTTCTTCGTGTATCTCTCTTGGATTTTCCCACCTGGCTGTCTTCCTGTCTTGCCATAGGCCAGGACAGCTTCTTTATCAACCAGTGGTAGCAACATATACTCACAGTGTACAGAAAGACATCCCACAGCCCTTCCCTTTCTATCTAATCAAAAGGAAGGTTTTCATTTTAACTTAGTAAAATTACATACAACAAAACAGTTATCAAGAAGGAATTTAGTTGCAATATCTAGTCTATTTGTATTTGGCAAAATTAAAGAAAATAATCTATCATCTATCCTATTTTTTTTTAGTCTAAAGTTTCATATCTAATTTACCTTTTATCATAACTAAGGAAAACTATAACTATCTAGTCTTCAACTGCATCAAAGACCCCAGAAGGATATAATATTACCTAAGTAAACAGGAAGTGCATTGTAAGCAAATTCCAAAATTCTGGAAATGACAGAGACATCAGGCTGCCTGGACAGTCATCCGAAGTGCCTCTGCAACGTTGGGGCATCCATCTTCAGCCTACAGGCCTAGAGTCTCTGACAGACTTTTTAGTCACCAAACATGGTATTGATGAACGCTGTGGCTGCTAAGCCTGGACTGTTGCCATGGTGGACTGACGGGGAACCTGTGGGTTATAGGACAAAGGGTCTACTGCATCAGAAAGAGGATTGAACCTGGTGCATAGAGGGAAGATGAGTAAAGAAGGTTGTGAAGAAATGGTCCCGGTTTTTTGTGTGTGATAGTCAGCAGTGATGAGGTTGAAGACCAAGAAGAGACAGAAGAAGGAAAGGAGTCTGGTACAGAACCTGTGGTCCATGCTGCGTTCCACTGAAGAGGCAGAAGGAAAGGAGGATGGTGAAGAGAAAAAGAGGACGACAATGGAGGAGTCACCACTCAAGAGCTTGACAGAGCAAGGCCTGTTTGGAAGAGATCCTGGGGACATCTGAATGAAGAGTGCCCTGAGTACTCCGTCAGCAGTGGGGAAGAACACTGGGCTGCATAACCACACATTAGCCCTGAGGATCTGGTTCACTGGAGCCTTCTTGGATTCTAAGGATCTCCCTCAAGTATTTCCTGTGAACTGTAGCAAAGCCAAATTTAGAAAGCGATCAGAAAGAATTTGGTTAAAAAAAAATGCTTAGAACTATTTATTCATTAAAGTGGTAGAAGAAGGGCTGGAGAGGTGGCTCGGGGTTCAGTACACTCTGGCTGCTCTTCCAGAAGACCAGGGTTCAATTCCCAGCACGCACATGGCAGCCGACACCCCTCTTTAATTACAGTCCCAGAGAATCCAGTGTCCTCTTCTGGCCTTCCAGGACACCAGGTACATGGTGCACAGACATACATGCAGACAAGACACTTAAACACATAAAATAAAAGTGTTTGAAGTGTAGTAAACAAACTGGTAGAAGATAAACTACAAAAAGTTTTAGGAAGTTCCTCCAAATTAGATGCTTTCACAGTTTTTATGATACAACATGGCTGCTTCTTGGAATAAGGTGGTTTCTTCTAAAGACCAGATAGAAAAAAAACAGAAACACATGTGTTTTCTCCCAGGGGAGCCCTCGGTGGACCGTCTCTAAGGAGTGCCTCAGAAGTGATCTGTGTGACTAAGCTCATTAGTGGGTGCTGTGTCCAATAGCTGAAGAGTTTTGAGGGGAAGATGTGTCAATTACCAGAGACGGCTTGGAACTTCCAGTAGACAGATAAACAAGATAGAGAAGATCAAGTTTGAAAACTTAGCAAAATTATGAAAGCTATCTTAGCAAAAGGTCGAGAAGGTGGTTGTGTCAGGTCTCTGGCGACATCATGCTGCTGTTGTCGTGAGCACTTAGGGGTCAACAGCAAATAATGGAAAAATCATGGAGGTTTGACCCCTGAGAAACAGCTCAACCTTGGGGGTTAAAAGACAGCCAAAGACCCACTGGAGAGCCACCCTGGCCGCTCCATTACTGAGACAAGAAGGCAGAGGCTAATGGGAGTGGCAGGTCTGGAGGACCTGGGCATTTTGCTGTCTGGAGCCATGCCCCTGTCCTGTGGCTTCTGTTGGGAAGCTCCCAGGATGCACTCTTATCTAGTAGGCCCTACAGAGTGCTCAGACTCCCCGGTGTTGGGGGCGTGGTCCCACTGCTGACAACACATCACACGTAGAAGAAGGAGGTCTGCTCGTGCTCAGTGCCCCTTCATTCCTTCTGATGAGATCTTTTCCATGATTATCATCTGAATGGCATGAGAACGAAGGTGAAGATGGATTTCTTTTCAGTGAGACTGATGACTCGGGCATCGAAGTGAAGCTGGTGATGCTTTTTCTAGTGTCACTTCATACTGAAGGCATTAACTTTATGGTCCAGAATAGTTAGCTATGAAGCTGAGGTCCTTAGCAGACCAAATCTTTGCTCATGGAAGTGTTTGCGCTATGCCTTGAGGTTTAAAGACTCACGTGAAATGGCTTACATTTCTTCTAGTATGCCTTTTTTACAATTCCCTGTGGTTAATTTGTGGACTAGTCCTCTGGAAACAGTTTGTTGAGGTAAACTCAGTGAGAGTTATTCTCCACAAGGCTTGTTTTCCAAAATAAAGTGCCAGAAACGGAATTCCCAAGGTCTGAACAGGCTGGTTGGGACTAACAGCAAAATTTCTGAACAGAAACAGAGTGTCCAGTAGTAGTCAGCTTTAGCAGGTAAATGAGACGGAGGGATGTGTGTGAAATACTAACTGGCAATCTCCTTGTGTGCCCATAGGCAACTTAAAACCATTCTAGAATTGGTGGCCCACGCCTTTAATCCCAGGACTTCGAGAGGCAGAGGCAGACGTAGATCTCTGAGTTCGAGGCCAGCCTGGTCTATAGAGCAAGTTCCAGGATTGCTTTACAGAGAAACCCTGTCTCAGAAAACAAAAACAAACAAACAAACAAACAAACAAACAAAAAACCCAAAACATTCTAGAAGCCTAACACCAGCTGGGCTAGAGTCTGAGTTCTGAGAAGGAGACACCGATGGCTGAGGTCCAGTAGGGTGCAGATTGAGATGTGACCAGGGCGCGCTCACAGGGATCCCGTATGTTCTTACAGAGACTATGCTGAGTCTGTGGGGCGGAAGGTACGAGACCTCGGCATGGTCGTGGACCTGATCTTCCTCAACACCGAGGTGTCGCTGTCACAAGCGCTGGAGGACGTCAGCCGAGGAGGGTCCCCCTTTGCCATTGTCATCACCCAGCAGCACCAGATCCACCGCTCGTGCACAGTCAACATCATGTTTGGAACTCCACAAGGTACGGAGGCCCAAGTAGTCCACGTTCCCAGAGATAGTCCCCAGCACAGTGATTCGGTGCCCTGCTTGTGAGAAGTGGGTTTGGGGGAATGGCTGAGGTGTTGCAGCTCCAGTGTGGCAAACCCTTCTTGTGCTGCCCAGGAGACATCATATTTTCCTTGGTGTTCTCTGACACTGTTCTGGACCTGCCTGCAAGCTGTTCAACAGCCAGTTCTGATGTAGAGGCAGGTGATTTGTACCTTTCACTGATTTCACTGCTCTGTCCCCCGGTGTCAGTGTTCTCACTGTGTCTCATCCCCAGCCACCAGTGTGACATCACTGAAGGGACTGTTGGAAAGACGTGCACGCCTGGTTCCCAGTGAGGTCTGGCTTAGGTGTCCGCTGCCTGAAATGCAGCTCCTGGGGACAGAGACTGTCAGTCAGTGTGCTGGAGAAACAAGTAAAGGGGTTAGGAGGACGGAGGCGGCTCTGGTCCTCCAGAGGAAGGACGGGATCCTTCACATCATCCTTCAGAGTAACTCGGAGTGCCCAAGCATTGAGGCTCAGCTACCCGTGCTCTTAAAGCCTAACTCCCCTTTCCACCCTGCCCAGGGTCTCTGTTGACCTGGCTGTCACACCCCTAGTCACAGGGTCCGTTAGAATCTCTGCGGAGCGATCCTTAGTTTGTGTGAGGGTGTTTATGTAAGGTCCCAAGAAATGTCCTCACCACTCTGCCAGACTTGCGCCACTGAGAAGAGGTGGTTATTGGTTACAATTTGGTCTTAGTCCATGACTTTTGATCTGATGAATTCGAAAGCTGTGCTGGCTCTGCCCTGAGGAGCACAGCGAGGAACCAGGCTTGACTGGCTTCGTTGGCCGCCTGCTGCTGCCTAGAGACTTGAGGGCCGCTCCCCATGTGGTCTGTGTGACTCTGTGGGAGGCTCTTGTGTTCCTTTGGTTTTTACCACAGGCCTGTGACCCAGAAATCTCCCTGAAGAAATAGCTCTGTAGAGGGGATGTCCCACACTGAAGAGCCCTGCTCTGTCCCCGGCCCACCTCACTGCAGGCTCCAGGCTTCTCGCCGTTGAAGTGCTTCTCTGCTTCCAGAACAAGGGAGGCTTGGCACAGTGCAGCAGTGGGCACCTGGATCCGTCATGGGAGAAAATAACTCGTGTCGTTCCCTCCTACAGAGCATCGCAACATGCCCCAGGCAGATGCCATGGTGCTGGTGGCCAGAAATTATGAGCGCTACAAGAATAACCGTCGGGAGAAGGAACGTGAGGAGATTGCCCGACAGGCAGCCAAGATGGCTAATGAAGCCATTCTCCAGGAAAGAGATCGTGGAGGCCCTGAGGAGGGAGGTCGTGGGGGGCACCCTCCAGCCATGCAGAGCCTCATCAACCTCCTGGCAGACAACAGATACCTCACTGCCGAGGAGACAGACAAGATCATCAACTACCTGCGGGAGCGGAAGGAGCGGCTCCTGAGGAGCAGCGCCGACTCTCTGCCTGGTGAGCTACGTGGCAGGGCCGAGGTGAAGTTCTCACTCTGCATTTCTCTCCTCCTGTGCTCTGGCGGGAGGGTGGCATGCCCGGGCTTCTCGGGTGGGTAAGGGAAATGAGCCATCCATGGGCTTCTCCCACAGGCCGTGCACGCTGGTGATGCTGTTAATGAGGCTCCAGAGTCACTGCTGAGCTCTGCTCCCTGGAGTTGGGCTAGCGGGGGGTAAACTAGTATTGTTGGCACCCGGAAGCCATGATGGATGGCCGTTGTTTATTTATTTATCCCTTTTTTCTAGCAATTTTCTGGGGCACTGGGCTGCTTTCTGTGAAACAGTCCATATCCTGAGATGGCCCTTTTGGAATTTGATGATGTTATTGTCTGTACTGTATGATTGTTGTGATGTATGATTGCTGTTCTTCCTTTGGCTGCCCGGCCTCCTGCCCTTAGGGGGCACTCTCAACCAGATGCCTCCCTCTTCTGTCTTCCAGGCCCGATTTCCCGCCAGCCACTCGGGGCGGCCTCGGGTACCTCGCTGAAGACACAAGCAAGTTCCCAACCGCTTCAGAGCGGCCAAGTGCTCCCCTCTGCTACACCCACTCCAGCCGCACCCCCCACCTCCCAGCAAGAGCTTCAGGCCAAAATCCTCAGCCTCTTCAATAGTGGCACGGTTGCGGCCAACAGCAGCTCTGCATCCCCCTCAGTTGCTGCCGGAACCTCCCAGAACCAGAATTTTTCCACAGCAGCAAACAGCCAGCCTCAGCAAAGACCACAGGCCTCAGGAAACCAGCCTCCAAACATGGTGGGACAGGCAGGGTCTGCTCGGAACATGGGCCCCAGGCCTGGGGCTCCTCCTTCCCAAGGGCTCTTCGGTCAGCCTTCCAGTCGCCTGGCACCTGCCAGCAACATGGCTAGCCAGAGGTCTGTCTCTTCCACAGGTATTAACTTTGACAATCCGAGTGTGCAGAAGGCTCTGGACACCCTGATCCAGAGTGGCCCTGCCCTCTCCCACCTGGTGAGCCAGACTGCAGCACAGGTGGCACGGCCCCAGGCCCCCATGGGCTCTTACCAGAGGCATTACTGAGGCTCCAGCGGTCGGTCCACTGTCCTTAGTCCCTTTCCCTCCCACTTCATCCTAAGTAGAGATGTTTGGAAGTGGTGTTCACACTCTCCGGAGGGGTCGACATCAGATATCCTAAGTTTCTCGCTCCGCTCCTTCCTGCGGCTGTTGCTTACCACTTAACAGAATCAGAACTTAGACTGCTCTCGGAGCTGTATCTTTTGTTTGGGTAGAAAATAAGTATCCCTGGAGTCTAGGCTCAGCTTTTGTCTGATGGGGTTGCTCTGGTCCCTGCTTGGTGGATTTGAAGGAAAAAAAAGGAAGAAGCCAAACCCTGGCTGCCCCAGTTTTTGGAGCACCATTTGTGGAGTCAGTGGTCACAGCCTTTGTTTCCACCTCCACACATGAGCTAGAACTGAGCTGCCTGGCTCACAGAGGATCAGGTTGGCCTCGGCAGGCAGTGTCATCACTGTCTCATCAGAGAACGGAACTCCACTCAGGACTCAGATTGGCTACTCGGAATTGGGGAAGAGCGCCATGGCAGCCGCAGAAGAGAGGACTCTTGTGCCTGCGTCAGAATGGTCCCTTGGGGGTGGTTGGTTTTGTAGTTTTCCATTTTCCTGGAGGGTCTCCAGATGAGTGAGCGGCTCACTCAGCACTTTGACGTGAACTGTGACTGGGACCCACTGCTCCCCACAGCGTTAGTCAGCACCTTTCTGTCCAGCAGCACCCGGTTGGTCAGTCGGTAAGCACTGAGAGGGCAGCTCCAGACTCTGGCACTGGACACCATGTTTCCAGTGGTTTATTCTTTGCCCCGGGCTTTTGTGTTCCTCCAGACCCCTGTTCCCTTTCTGATGAGTAGGGACCATTGATGTGGGACTGTGGGAGCTGGAGATGTCCTCAGACAGCATTCGTAACTTCTGAGACAGAGGGCACTTGGGCACTTGGAGGGCTCTGGCTGCCACCTTGAATGGAGCCAAAGGAATGCACCTTTTCCTTTGGCAAAGACTGCTCATTAGAACCCTGTGGATCAAATCTGGGGGAGAGGAGGGCCTGGCAAGGCAAGCAAGTGGTAGCTCCAGCTGAGTCCCTTGCCAGGGCCTGAGCAAACCAGTTTCAAAATCCAAGGTCCCCAAATGGCAGCAGTTTATGTTCTGATCTGTTCGTGTTAAATGGTGGGTTTTTTCCCCCTCTTTGGAACTCTTGTGTTGTTGATAAAATGAAATAATTACTTTTTAATTAAAATAAGAAAGTCAGACCTGTGCTCATCTTTCTTGGGTGTATCTGCAGCACTTTGCAGAGCACTTCCCCCAAGAGCAGGCCGTCATATCTCTGCACCAGCTTGAAGCTCGGTGTGCTGCCCACCTAGTGAGAAGTGTTAGTCAAGGCACAGAGCAGAAGCCTGCCGCCAAGGCCTGTCCTGCTCTGCATCTGCTTCTGGGAGAGACAGCATATCAGCAAGTGTGTCCAAAACTTACTAGAGGGAAGGAAGCCATGGTGAGGAGCCTTGATGGATGGTGGTTGAGGCAGGGGCATTCCTCTTTTGCTTTCATCTCTGTTGCTGCCCATGGTGCAGGAGTTTGGCAGTTCTATAGTCAGAACCTGAACGCCTTGAAGAGCCTTTAATACACGTGGCATCAATGTCCCAAGCTTCCTCTAGAGACTCACTGCCTCCCGGAGAATACCATACGACCTGACATCTAGGAAGCTCCTCCTGGCTCAGGCACAGGGCCCCAAAGCTGGTGTAATCACTTCTGTGAGCAGAGAGGACAGTTTCCCACCCGAGTCCTGTTCTGACTGGATATGGGGGCCCACATATAAAATCCCTAGCACTTCAAAGGTAGAGGCGAGAGGATTGGAAGTTCCAGATCATCCTTGGCTACATAGCCAAGTTCCAAGGCAGCCTAGGCTCCATGACCACTCAAAAAAAAAAAAAAAATCTCTCTTGACAGTGGATTTGACTTCATCCCGAAGTGTCCAAACCGTACCCCTTAGGCTATCAAGGGTGTAATAAAATTATTTTTATTGCATTGTGTGCAGACAGGTATCTAAAAAAATTAACACAGTAAAAGCCTTAAAGCATTAAATGGGAGCATTCAACAGTAAAGGAAAGAACCGACCCTCTCCTTTGCATATTGGCACAAAGAACACAAGATCAATACCGAGGCAGGATGCGAAATACCAAAACACTAAAATTAAAGGCAGGCCTAATAATAATAGTAATAACGATAAATACTCTTGATTTGGCTTGCAACCTCTCCTATTTACAAGGGTTTTGGACTGCATTGCATTGCCCTGCACATAGGTCGGCTGAAACAAAAGCAACACTCGTTCTCACTACCAGGCTATTGAAATATTGCACTCAGTAAAAGTCACCTGGGTGGACATGGAACATCTAGCTACAGTGATTATAAAGGTGACTTGAACGACACAAGGTTCATAACAAATATTGCACATGGAGCACAGAAAAATTGGGTTTTTGTTGTGGGATGTTTGTTTTCATCAACGGAAACTTTGCTCTTGCCAACCAGAGTCTGGGCCCAGGTAGTGCAACTTTGGTTCCCTAATTGGTGTTGGTACAGCCTCCTCCCCTTTGGCGCAGCCCCTCTCTGGCCCCAAAAGGCAAGACCATGGCAAGGGAGGGCAGTCTTGAAGGATGATGGGCCCTGGGTTCTACACTTCCAACTTCATGGCTACTGCCTGGAAGAATGAATATCCGGTCCCCATCAAATCTCAGAGGGGCGGGCCTTGGGCCCAGCAGCCGAGCAGCAGACCTCCGGCCCTGCCACTGGCCACACCTGATCTTGTCTAGATGGTACCAAGCTGCAACTCTCTGCTTTGGGCTCAAGGGAACGAGGTGGTGAGGTCAGCTAGTGGCCCCAGCCCTGGAGGGCAGGATGTCTAACTAGGTGCGCAGGCCAGGGCCCTGGGGCTGGAGGCACTGTACCCAGTCCCAGAGGGCGCTTAAAGGAGCATGCAGTGCCTGTCCCCTTAGTAACGTGCCCTAGGGGAAGGGAACGGCCAAACGCCTTTCTAAGGGCTGAGGGCACCGCCCCACAGGTGGGGCTGGTGGAGCGGAAGCGCCAAGGACGAGTTAGGGAAGCCAAAGGCCTTGAGTCCAAGTCAGAAGAGGGCAGAGAAGCGCGAGGAACAACGGAGCCCACGTGACTCGAGCCCTACTCCAGGACCTGGTGTCTGGGAGACGTAGCTAAGGACCTGCTGCCAGGCAGCAAGGCCCAGCTCCAGAGCACTCAGTAGGCAGCCGGGTCCCCAGGCAGGACCTGCAGATGGGGACCAAGGGAGGGAACATCAGAGGTTGCCCGGGCCTCCTGGTGAGTCGGTCTAGACTGGCATTGGCCCCTCGGCCCTCGCCTGTCCCAGGGAGGAAACTGGGGAGGGGGTGCCTTCCAGCTCCACGAATTCAGTCTTTGGCGAGGAGCCATGGGACATGGGGAGCAGGCAGCAAGCCAACAGAGGAGAGACGCCTGCTCCTCCGCGAAGGCACCGGGCGGGGCTTCCTCGGTGGGCGCGGGCCTCGGTTTCTCCCCATGGAGGGGCGACCCCTCGCTCTCCTGGCCGCCAGAAAGCTCGCATCCACCGAAGCCGGCCGCCGTCTCACCTGTGTTTGCCAAGAACTGGAGGGAAAAGAGGGAAGCCCAGGGCGTGAACAGGGAAGGGAGAGGAGAGCGCGGGCCTCAAAGCACTTGGCTCTCCGCTCCGGCGCGCCGGGAAACCTGGCTCCCCGGGCTGCCGCCTCCCTGGGCGCCCGCAGCAGCGAGAGCGCGGCCGTGGCGAGGAGTCCGTTGCGCTTCTAGTTAAAAGAAATATGGGGACATTAAAAATACACGCGATGTCTCCTGTACACTATGTATAGCGCGGCCGGCCGGTGCCCAGGCTCGGCGACCAGGGTCCCGGGGAACGCGGCGGGGCGTGGGGAGGGACGGGCCCGGGGCTGCCCGGCCCAGGACCGCGGTTCCGCTCCTCTCCACGCCACCTCGCCACCTTTATTGCAGCGTCTGCTCCGGCAGGGCGAGGCCGGGCTCAGAAAAGGGGCCCACGGGCCGCCCTCGGAGTCAGCCCCGATGGGCAAGGCCTCCGGGCTGCAGGCAGCGGGAAAAGGGGCCAGGGCACGGGCACAGGGTCTTATGTAAACGGTGACAGCGGCGGGTTGGCGCGGCGCGGCGAGGGCTCCGGGGCCGCGGGGCCGGGCGCGCTCGGGCCGGCGTGACAGGTCCTGGCCCTCAGGAGTAGATGGTGATGACCTCGCGGCCGCCACCGCGGACCAGCATCACCCGGTCCAGTTGCTCAGTGAGGACCTCCAGGAACTCCATGTCTGAGAGCTGGTCAAGGAGACAGAGCCTGCGCCTTCCCCGAGCCCCCGTGCCTGTCCAGTGCTGACCCTGCTCTGCTGTTTTCATTCCAGGCTAGAGGACACGCGTACTTGGCCAACAACCTCCCTCTTCCCCCCTCACTTAAGTCCAGGATACAGTTTTCATCACCATTGCGGTTGCGGGGAGGCCCGGGCATGTTGAGCAAAACCAGCTTGGCATCCCGGGATTTATTCACGATGACCTCGTTCAGCCGCACAGCCGTGTGCATGCGCCGCACGTTGGACTGGTTCCTGCAGAAGAAAGGAGAGAGGCAAAGGCATTAGCCCAGGCCAGGGAGAGCTAAGTCTGGTCACCCTCCCAGCCTGAGTCGGACTGCCCAGCCTGGTGCTTGCCAGCCTGGGACCTCCCCCAACCCCAGGTCTCTCCAAGCTGGGCCATTTAGAGGCCCCAGAGGCCAGGGACACCCCTTGAGGGTTCCGTGGAGTAGGGGCACTAGAGACCTAGGAGAGAAGATGGAAAAATGGTGGCGCACTTACAGGCTTTCCCACTCACTTCAGGAAACACAAAGAGAAGCAAAGAGAGAAAGAAAAAAAGAGGGATCAGGAAAGGGTGGCTGCCAGGGAGAGCCAACCATCGTCCGCCCTGGCTGAGCGTGGTCTGCTCTCACAGCCCCCACCACCTTCTCCTTTTCCACACCGGCCCTTGGGAGCTGGGCCTGGTGCTTAACAACCTAGCCCAGTCCTGTAAGTCTCGAACTGGGGAAACCCAGGCAAGTCCTGCCCTGGGTCATCAGGCTGCCAGAAGAAGACCCTCCTGCTCCTTTGTTCTGCCATAGTAAACAAGACCTTTAGGCCCACCCCACCCCAAGTTTCAGCCCCTAGGCCCGTACGGCTTCATGCTGAAGAAGTCCTTGATGCCCTCGGTGGAGACGGGACTGGGGCCTTTATTCTTCTCTGCCACTGACTTGTCCTTGGTCCAGGTAAGATGCACCTTCTCTGGGTCTGTCTCCCCCTCCCCCTCAGGCTCCTCCCCTGGAGATGGTGAGCTGCTGGGGCAGCTGGGAGCACTCTGGTCATGGATCAGCTGCACCTGAAGGAGGGGGGTGGTTGTTGAGCAGGTGACTCTTGGTGGCCAGAGGTTCTGCTCCCACGTGCCAGAGCCAAGCCACCCCAGCCACTCACCTCCTCTTCTGGCTTCTCCTCACCGTCGCCAGCTGTCTCCTCGGGAACATTGAGGCGGAGCCGAGTGTTGGCTGGATTCTTCCTCCGAATGGAGCCCCGAGACTCATCTGTGATGCTCTGGATCTAGGGAGTGACATAGGTTGATGCCAGCTCTGCTGGGGGTCACCGCCCACGCCCTGCCAAGAGCCATTACTGCATCTGGTGCTCATCCAGGTTACACACATTCCCGAGTGGCACACACTGTGAAAATAGTACGGTGCCTCAGGACCAAACACCTATTGCATGGCTGACCTGGCCTCTGCTCTCCAGAGCTCAGACCTTCCTGCCATCAGCAACCAGCAGGCTAACACCTGGCACAGCAAGGCGTGAACCTCGCACGATGGTCCCACATCACTCTGGCTGCCCAGAAGATGCCATTTCTTATCACTTCCACTATCAGCCTGGGTGGCACCCCCACCCTTCAAGGGCCCATCACTCAGTTCCCTGAGCGCCTATCAGCCACATTCTGAAAAACAGATTCTCCTCACCTGGGAGACCCATAATCATGGTTCTTCACCCTTGCCTACATGATCTGCCTGCCACTCATTCCCCGAACAACCTAACACCCACTTCTAGGAGCTCCTGTGTCCACAGCCCTGGGTATCATCCCTCACTTCCCCCAGGGACTCCACTCCCTGGGGTGGGTCTTTTATGCATGCTCCAGAAGACCAGTGACTGAAACCTGAAAGATCTTACCCCATGGGACG